GGAGAGGAGATGGGGCTGCGGATGGAGTAGGTTTTGAGGGTGTGGGTGAGACGGTACTGGAATGGGGATGTGGTGAAAACGTGGTGAGAGCATGGCGAGGATGCGGGGAAGGGGCGGTGAGATTTTTTCGGTTTGGTTGGTTGATTGATTGATTGAAGATGCTGGAACTGCGAATACCGTAAGTGTAGTGTATGTTTTTCTCTCTCGGGCGGTGGCGGTGATCTTCCACCGCTGTTCGACGCCGAACTACCATCGGCTTGTGGGGTTTTCCCTAAGCCGGTATCTCCTACCAGCAGGGCACGGGTCAGCCATGGCAAGATCTAAGTTTCCTGTGGTTTGCCGATATGTGTGGTAGTGAAAAGCATGTAAGTGTAAGTGCATATGTGTGTAAGGGGTGAGGAGCCCGTTTGTTGCTTCCAGCTCCGGCATTCGCCTGGTGTTGATCGGAGCAGCTAACCTCTAAAATTCTTCAGACAGCAACTGAAATCGACCTAGCCAGTGTCGAAAATCCTGCCACCGTCGGGACTGGAAACCTAGGACTCCCCTGCGAGGGGTTCGGCAAAAGGTTGCGGTGAGGATGTGACGAGGATGACGGATGAGTGGGGGAAGAGGTTGTGGCGGGGATGTGGCGGGACTGCGGCGGAGCAGAAGCAGGGCTCTAAGGGGGGGGGCAAGTGGAAGGATGCAGGGTGCTGCAATGGCGGGCGGGGTAGCTTGGGGAGGGGACCGCGGGTCAGGGCTGGGGTGATGCTCTGCTTAAACCTGCGAAGAGAGATGCGATGCCGGAGCGTTATGCTCCTTCGCTCTATCCTCATTGAGTCCATCAGCTGAACAAAACGATTCGAATTTATTGATAACTAAATCATACTTCTCTCTTCCTCAAGTTAATGTAATGAAATTTTTCCTCTCTCCTCTTTATTTTATCTGCGCCCTGTGGTTGGTTCTTGCTCTGTCTGTTTGGGCGCCCTCGCGAGCGGTGCTTCGCATTGGATGTGGCTTCGCGCGCGGGGCCTTGTCGGAATCCTTGAACGCATAAACTCCTATCGCGAAACGAAAGAACTTTGTCAACCTTTCCTTCATTCACTCTTTTAGAACGTTCTCAAGGTAATTTCATATTCACATGCGTGAACACTCTATTCCGACCGACATACACTCAGAGCCACCATTGCCACAGTGTCTGCGTGACTCTCACCGGGATGTTCTAGGGTTTGAGTCCCGACTCTAACGAATTTCCAGCACCAGTTTAATAGCTATGACAAATTCAACCGCTGCCTGGCGGAGAATTCTACTGACCGACTGCGCTGATGGGTAGTTTTCTGTGATTTCTCTCATCAATATCTGGCGAATACCGGACCAGTACCCTAACGAACGGGCTAAGAACCGCTCGCGATATTTCCTTCCTCTTCCTTGTTCTGTCTGCTCGTCTCTTACACACGCTTGTATGCACTACACATCGAGAGACCGATCGGGAGGGCGTTACCCCGCTTTGGGGATACCTGGAGAGGGAAACCCTCTATAAACCGACGTATAGGTGGACACCAAGTCTCACCATCCACCGTTGAGCAACACCGCGACCTCCCACGATAAAACATTCACTGCCAGAGAGGGACTAATGGCCGTAGCAGTTGACGTACCTGGAAATAATCAATCATTCAACTATCTCTTTCCAGTGCTGGAAGATCCCTTCGGATATCTTGCTCTTTTTCGGGTGGGTCACAAGAGAACTCAAGTGAGTTCGAGTTGTAGTAGAAATTATTTCCCTCGAGTGAGAGCGTAGGCGTCCGCGGCCGGAGTCAGTATTTACTAGGCTGTCCGGGTGACGCCGCGTCCATGGCGAAGGTTTCGGTCGCCATTCTGCGACCTTCCTCGCTTCCTGTGACGACGTCGAGGCATTACGCCCTGAGAAAGGTCGCAGAATGGCGACCGAAACGTCGGCACCTTCGCCATGGACGCGGCGTCACCCGGACAGCCTAGTAAATACATTATTTCCCTCAAACGCAATACAATTTTTCTCATCCTTTCTTTGCAAATCAATCAAATCTTGGCTTTCAGTTGGCAGATATGTTGACTTGACACAGTCATAGAAAGCTGAAAATTGATAAATAAAAGAACTCTTGATATAGATTACAGCATATCGAATGTAGAACAAGTTTCCAGTACATTATCTCATAGATGTATTTTTAATGTTATTAAAAGTTCTCTTTGAAACATTTCCATGCAATTGGCATGGAAATATTGGCCAAAACACCGTTGAATGGAAGCCTATTTAAGAAATTAACGTGAGGCAATATTTTGTACCATCAAAAAGGGGCGAGGCAGCTCATACAGTATTGCTTTCTGAAGTCACTTTTCTAAATGCAAGGAACGGAGAAAGGCGTATTTTAAAAATGATTCTCCCTAGAAGCCAAACCTTCATATGCCGTTTCCAATAGTTTCCTGCCACAGCGCTTGCTTATAACATTTGACTTTAATTACTATTCTCCCTATCATGTCAATGAAAACAAATATTTTCTCAGCTTCTGATCAGATAAAGATCAATGAGTAACAATATTAATTTTTCAGTAATTAAAAAAAACTTCAAGATTACATCTTCGTACATTGCATATCATTATCTGTCGCTGTTTATGAGTAAATGTCGTTACACCATTTCATTGAAAGATTGTTTCGTGTTTCTGGGCGGTTCAACTTCTATTATTCTCGTACGCGTAGTACGTGTTTTTAACGGAAGATGGCGGTGGGCTTCCCACGCCCACCCGCGCGGCTTTCGGGGTTTCCCCATCCAAGTATCTCTTACCTGCGAGTCATCGCCTTAATCGGGACAAACTAATTCATTTGCAATCACAATGCAAATTTAAACGTAAACATAAGCCGCAGGGCAGCCGCAAAGTCTACAAATGCGTTATTATGCGAGGCCATTCACAGTGCATTGCCGTAACCCTAGACATAAATCCATAAACTTCGAGTTCACAAGCACCAAGCTATTGGGTTAAGTTTACGTCGGAATTCCACCGAAGACCAATCAGAGAACAGCATGAAAAAGCAAACATGAGGAATGACAGATTGTGTCCAGGTAGATTGTGGTTATATCATTGCATTACTCTTATGTACTGAACTAGTTTGCGAACAGTTTTGATGTGAGTAGTGAATTCAAAGTAATAATTTGGGCCATTTTTCTTGTGACTTTAACTTCATGTGGAGTATAAAATATTTACGGTCGACCAATAACTCGTTAAATTAGTACGCGAGAATTCTTCTTTATAAAATAAAGGTTATGCGAGCACAATAACAAAAACTTCTCACATTTATATGTGTAGACAAATCAATAGAAAAATGAAGGACAAGTTAGAAACCTCTGTGAAAATAGGGAGTTTGTGCGCAAACTCCCTAACCCATCACGCTATCAACAAATTAACAATCGATCAAGCTTCAATACGTTGAAATCTAAATGGCCCAGGCAATACTTACGTTGCAGCTTGCGAATGCTTGTTTTTATATGTAAATTTTACCACAACGTTTACGGCATTACGTTACGTTTAAGTTTGCATTTTGAGTGAGTCCTAATGTTCCATCTGCTCTTCCAAGCGTGTGTAGTAGTGTAGGGCATATAAATGTGTGTATAAGTAACGGGTGACAATATGAAAAGGAAAAGGATCATAAATATTTGTTAAATAATGCGCATGTGTGTTATATTGCTATTCTATTCGTAGTGTATATAAGATACTATACAATATTATATATGAAATAATTACATAATTATAGCATAAATATATAAATAGTTTTCTTCGAAGAAAGAAAGGAGACAAATGAAAACTAGCTTTTTTGTGGGAGGAGACATGTGCGCCATAGCCCCCTCCTGGGTCCGCCCCTGCTGCTACCGGCATTTAAACCGGAGCATACACCGCCTAAAGTGGGACTTTTTATTTCATAAAGTTGCTGCTCCGAAGCTAGTTGGTCATTAGATCTCGTGCGGCTGAAAGCTGGCCCGCGCCGAGCGTGCTTTGGCCGTGCGGGGGTGGGGGCGGAGTGTCTCCTTGGAAGCGCTCCTGGCGCTAGCCGCCTCCTCGGCCGCCGCGAACCGCCCCGTCCCTTCCATGCGGCTGCGGAGGCAGCGACGAGCTCGTTCCCTCGAAGCAGCCCTGCGTGCAGATAATGGAGTAGGAAATGACGAAGTGATTTGTGTACCTTACGCGTTTACTGATGAGAGGAAAACATTCACCAAGTTTCTCCAATGAAAAGATGAATAACGATATTCATACCCCTCTTTACATTCATTATAATTACGAATTATCATAATTATAATTGGTAAATATTCAGTTCAGTTAAAATGAAAATGAATACGGTGCTGATTACTTTGGTATCAATAATGTGGAGGAAGTTTCATTTCCATAATACGCATTTACATTAATGAAAAAAATATAGTTACATCCAAAGTTTGAAAGGCACATCACCAACATTCATTGCCTTTTCTTTGGAAGAATCTTCTGTCGTTTGTATTCCTTGGTTGCTCTCCGTGTTAGTCTCGTTCCCTTCTCTTTGCCATTCTACCCCTTCTTTCCTCTTTCCTTTTTTATCCTTTCTCCCCTTTCTTTATTCTTTTTCGTCCTTCTCCATTCCCCACGTTCTATTGGCATGAGGGGTGCTACTCAATCTCCGCCAACACCCGTGTCGCTTTGCAACCTTCCCTCCTCAGTCTCCCTCTTTGGTCGCCCGCTGCGCTGTGCCACGAAGCCGCGGCCTGTTGCATCCACTTCCCAATGCTACTTGATTGATTGTAAATGACTCTGGACGCGTCACACGCTCAGGTCATTAGTCCCGTAAGTGTTATGGTCTTCCCCTTCTGTATGGAGAAATCCGGCGTTCAGTTTCCTCCACGAGGCATCTCTCAAGAGCGGGAATCCTCCCCAGTCGGACAATCTCTAAGCTCCCGACCGGTCTGCACGTAAGCTTCCGCAATCCATGGCACCCCAGCCAACGACGCGGCGTCTCCCGAACAGCCGAGAATTCCCGACCGGTCTCCCGGCATGTGTGATAGTGTAGTGGATGTTAGTGTGTATGTGTGTGTTTAAGAAAGGACTGAGGGTAAGACTAGTAAGAGGAAGGAAATATCGCGCACGGTCCGTGGCCCGTTTGTTAGGGTACTGCTCTGGTATTCGCTTGGTGTTGATCGGAGAAACCATGGAAACCTGCCGACCAGAGCAGTCGGCCGCTAGAATTCTCCTCCAGACAGCGACTGTATTTGACTTACCCGACAAGCTAGTGTAGAAAATCTTGCTACCGTCGGGAATAAATCGTTCGCAATTACTGTAGCCTGGGAATGGAGTAAATTGTCTCCCAATATTAAAAACTCCTTTTCATTAACATCTTTTATGAAGCACTTGCATGATTTTTTTACAAAGTAAAATACGGCCGGTTTTAAACAAGAAAACCACCCTTTGCAGCATGGACCGCAGCTGAGGATACCATCCCAAAGACCGCGTTCTTTATGTTAGCTAGTTTCATTGTATTAGGACACAGTCTGCTGGTTGTTTTTTCCGACTAGCGGGTTTTCCTCCAGGATAGAACGACGTATGATGGTGTCTTTCTGTATTATAGATCACAGTCGCTCGGGGTGAATACCAGGCTGCCGGTAGCGCGCAGATATTTAAGCACATAATCTTATTCAATTCAAATTGTGTTTTCAATCTCAGACTTGATTTTAAAATTATTTCAAAATTATTATTGTAACATTTTATCCATTTAACCTCTGATGTTATCTATTTATATGTTGCTTTAAATAACTTTTGCTTTCCACTAACTACTTACAACTAGTAGATTACATTAAATTTAAATTTTAAATAACATTACTTTTTTGTAATTTAAATACATTATCTTGTATATTTGTGACATGTGGTCAGGCGGAAGAGCGGGCTGATGGCCGAGCTTCGCCATATTAATAAAGGATATTATATATTATTATTATTATTATTATTATTATTATTATTTGAACCTAAGACCGTCCGGTGAGAGGTACTGAAGTGACATCAGTTGATGACCTGACTAATGCTACTTGATGGTACTGTTGCCAAATTCTCATAAATTACTGTTAAGAAATGAGTAAAAGAAAATACATTGAGCCTATGATTATCTCCAAATAATTTTTCGATTATTGGGTAATTCGAAAATGCGACTCCTTTGAATCACTTTCCAATTTTATAGAAAGTTAAAGTTCTAATTTTTGAACTTGGAATTTTGAAAACTCAAAGACAGGTTTCCTTTTCTTCAGTCCTTCTCAATCTTCATCACACTTTTCTCTGCTATTTCTTTCTTTCTTTCTTTTCCTTCCTTCTTCTTTCCTTCTTTCTTTCTTCCTTCCTCTCCTTCCTTCACGTCTCTCCCCCTCATCACCATTTCATCTCTCCGAATCTCTCATTCCTTCATCTCTTCTACTTAATTCCGACATTTTTATCCTTTCACTTCCACTTCCTTCTCCTCTCTTTCGCACTTCGTCTTGCTCCTCTCCCCGCTTCCCCTTTGCTTGTTTCCCCTCCCATCCCACTCTCTCCCACCATACCTCTTTGCCTCTCTCTTCCTCCTTTCTGTCCCTTGCTGTTCCTCGCCCCTTCTGCCCACATCTTCTCCCCTCCCTCTCTCCCTCAGATTCCCTCCTCTCTTTTCCTCCTTTCCCCTCACTCTTCCTTCTTTCCCGTTCCTTCTTTATTCTGCGTTCTCTCTCTTCACCTGTCTGGTCCTTCCTACCTCCCATTACTATTTCTACTCGCGTTTCCCCCACCTCTTTCTCTCTCCTCTCTCTCTCTCTCTGTCTCTCTGTCTTTCTCTTTCATTTCCACCGCCATTCCTATCCCGGGCTCTTTCAACAAGAGCCTCTAACCACTGACCAGCGTACCAACACATACCATCCGCGCCGCGCCCGGTGCCTGGCGCCTGGCGCTTGACCGCAGCCCCGCCCCCCTCATTACGCGGTCGCGGCTGGCCCGCCCGCTCGCGCTCGATATTCGGCCGAGGGGCGCCGGTGGGGGAGGGGGCGGAGCGGCCGGCCCCGCGAGGGTCGCTGTGAACACCGCTCCGGCCTCCACCAACTAGTTTATACGGGACGCCTGAGTTAGACGGACCGAGGGGAGGCGGCGGTATATCGATGTACTAGATGGATCGATAAATGTTTATCGATATTTTCGAGCTGTACTTCAAAATTATATTAATGTACCAACCGCTGTGAAGGAAAACAAATTCATTGAAATGTTCTAGTGAATAATGATGGTAATAATGACATAGTTTTGATGTCGATGGCGATGTGTTTGTAATTAGAGGGATAATGCGCCAGATTTTGACAAGTTTATTAAAACAATAATTGAAAAACACTAATGCAAGCACTGTGAAGACTTCCATCGATGTCCGTGTTTAATAACTCTTACTTAATCGTTAGCAAATGAGATATTATCACTAATTAGTAATCAACGGCCCTCCGGCGAATATTTTCATGATACAAATGTTTATTTGTGCAGACAAAGATTACAATAAAATAAATTTTAAAAATAATACAGTTGTCCCAATTTTCCATCCAATTAGGTAAAAAAATGTTTGAAAAAGTGACACAATATCATCAATTAATCAAATCGTAATGATGCATGTTATGTCGAAAAGGCAGTGTAGTAATTTGCAGCTTTTTACGAGTACCACTGTGTTCCACTTCTTCCAGAATATTCTAAAACAATCCAGCAATCAGTTATGAAAAGCATGACAATCGGTTAATCATACTGATAGTAATTAAATGAGCAATTGATCACGTTTATAGTTGCTTTAAATACATGCAATATAATTTTTGTAGAATCCTTTTAGAATGTTCTGGAAGAATCCGAAACAAAAGATCAGATCTCCACCAGGGTCAAATTACATCTCATTTGCACCGAACGCCGTGACGGACGAGGACTCACATGCGGCCACACTCTTTTACCCGATTCGACAATCAGTTAATAAATGCCTTATTGTACGTGGCGAGGCTCAGACCATCAGGTCTGACCAAGCAAATGTCGCTACTCTCCTTTCGCCTTCTAGCAGAGAAATACGGATCAGGCCATTTGAATTTATCTAAGAGGTTCCTTATAAGCTTGAGAATATTTTATGTACTAAATCTTCAACATACGACAACCGGTTTTACTTCCTATTCAAAGGAAGAATTTTTTTCATTTATAAACGACTTCGATCGGATTTGAATCCATGAATTCAGACACGACTCCCAATATGCAACATAAACGCCATCGATACCGACCTATACTACTAATAACGGCAGTCGGATCTCTCGATTTTCACCGCTGGGACTCGACTTTCCTTCACTGGGATTCAAGTGGAATTTCAAGATTTGCGCGGCAGGTTTTCTCTACACACCTTCCACTATTTATCTTGCTACATCAGCACTCATATCGTACCTACAAATTTCCTATTTGTCAAATAATTCATCAATTATGATCATATTATACCTTAAGCTCTGGCATCATTTGTGAGAGAACTTCCTGCACTCCTGCATTTGTATCGTAAAGTTTGACCAACTGGAACATGGTAGAAAACTGGAGATTTTCGCATACTATTACGTTTGGTTTAAGGATATACTAGCTAAAAAGAATTATTGGATAGAACATCTCATGACGCAATTAAAAATCAAAATCCAACCAACTCGAACCCACAATTTGCAGAATTTGGTGTTATTGCAAGGTCATCTGGCGAGAAATTTCTATAGTATTAGAGGCACGGTATTTTGAGTGAGTTTATTGTCAAGAGACGTGAAATAAGTGGGTTTGGTGATTGGAGGATTTGCAAAATACAGCGATTCACGTAGGCGTGCCTAACTTTATATTTCGATTGTCGGTTCTCTCGATTTTGTGCGACGCGGGTTAATCTTTCGAAAAGCTGGTGTGTTTAAAAGAACCCAACCTTGTTAACGGATAAATTCACGTACCCTCTCCAAACTGCAAGAAAAGTGTGATAAGAATGTTTACCGAAAACATTTAGCAGAGACAGTTTTTAATAAAGGAAATATTAAAAGAAAGAACATCAGCCCTGCATTTTATGAATATTGTGTTTTTATAACTCTCAAACAATTTTGAAGCGAAGAGGTTACTCCTAGTAATAAAGAATATCCTATTATCGTTCGTAATATTTTGATAAGACTTCGTCTTTT